ATTTACGCTTTATATATACAGTTTTGCTTTTCACCGTTTCGCCAATCCAGTGGTGGGTTGTTCTTTGGCGTACGCCATGACATGGTTAGCTGTCAGTCTCAGTCAAACTTGATCCATCGAAAAAAGGATCACACCTGTCGGAGTGTTCGCTTGCTTCTTCGTTTACTTTCTTTACACTCTCGAGGAATCTATGTTCTTTCGAGAGACCTATGTTCTTCCCAAAGCATTAGAAACTTCGAAAACGGATCGAACATCAATGTGGAAGCGGCGTGCCTCTTGGGAGTAATCTTCAAAATTCTGTCCACGCAAACGAAAAACTGTAGGTAATTAGAAGAAGAAATAGACATAAGGAGAAAAACCACTACAGGATAGCAATGGTTGATTCGTCCCTTACCTCATGCGATCCAAAACTTAGAAAGGCACGACTTGGGCTTGTTCCAATTTTTTTTCGCGGCTGTATATGTTAGAAACAAAAATTCTTCCACGTTTGTTTCAAACGGTAGAAAAAACAAGGGGAGGGTAGAAACATCCGTCGAATTCCGTAAGCAGGGCGTTGTGAAAAAAACAAAAGAAGGGGTGGTTGCTCGGCTGCTGCGGAGGGTGATTGCCCTAGTTGCCCATTTGTTGATGGTAGATTTTTCGTTTTTTAGCGCTCATCACTCCTTAGTCTAGTCTTAGTGAGGGGGGGGGGAGGGGAAGGGCGAGTGCCAAGGTGTTTCCGCTCTGCAATAAATTCTCTTTCGTTTGTGGGCTTCGTTTCGTTCGTTATTGCTTTTTCTCGTTTCACGTGAGCCATACACCCTGTATATCCCCTCCTCCCCCCTTATATGATTGCTGATATGTGATGTTTGTATGGATCATGTGGTCCCACGTAGTCGAAAAGCGTGATTCATATGTGGTTCAGCGGTCCTCGATTCGTCAACCAGATTACCAAACAATGTTCCCCTGAGAGTCCAAATTTTTCCCAGCTTGATGATATTTACAGGACCGAATGCAATGCTTCAGCTAGCTCACTAGAGTACTGGTACTAGCTCTGTGGAGTACTTATAAAAAGAGCTTATGATCGGTTTAATTCAGATTTTCCGATTTGACAAGAGCATTGAATTAGTGCCGATTACATTCCCGACTACTCATCAGATGAAGGTGTCGTTCAAAAAACTACTTCGCGTGATGCGTCCGAGTGTAGCTTTCATGGATTCGTCTCCATCCACTTTCTACCGACTTCTGGAAGAATCCGAGTGGTTTCACATTGTACGTGTATAAGAACCTGATTTTTTTGCTTTCCAACCCTTTTATATTGGTGGTTATGTCTTACAAGGAAAGAGTGGTAGGTCGAAGTGGCCATTTGAAATGAAATGTATACCGGCTGAAAGGTCTTTGGACGAGGAATTACGAAACCGTCTTCCATATCTGCTGCCGGACCTCCCAGAAAAGTTTACGGCGCTTTTTAGGGGAAGCAATGCATAAATGCCAGAATGCAATCAGTACGAATTGGTCGCGTAATGCTGATGCTATCGTAGCAGCGCGGCCGAGTGGTTACGTTACGAATGCGCGGTTAAGGGTTTAGATCCTTGATGCGTGTGCTCTTTTGCATTTTTTCGAAAGTGGTCCCTGTGCACTTCAAAGCTATTTTGCATAATCTTGTGCCTGATAATGTCGTGATGTAATGTTTCTGACTTGATGGAGCCATTTCACAAAGGAAATTTTTGGCTGTTGAATTCTTCTTTCATTAATTTTTAAAAGCATATTTTCGCAACACAAATGCATTCCAACAAATTAGTTTGCCCTAAAAAATGACTTTTCCCCCAAACGACGGCTGGAAACCGAATCTGAAACCGCACGAAGTTGTGCGCAAAGATGAGTATAGTTGGAAATGCTTTCACATGACGTGGCGTTGATGTGGCAATCATGCTGGAGATCGTGATGGCAAAACCTTCATTCATCACTCGCATAATGTTGAAGGATATTCCATCCTCAGGTGATGCTTGGGAGTTTTCGGCT